AGGATCCAGCAGCCATTTATGGAGCATTCCCAGTGATGCAGACAAAATCCCATCCATCACTTTCATAGTGCCGTCCCCGCCTGGCCTACCTGTGATTGTGGTGGATTACAAATGTGCCATCTAATAGCCAGGTAATAAGATGTGAAGGAACAGGTGACACACAGGCTGTCTTAGCCTAACACAAGCCATCATTTAGCAGTGCTCTCCACTGACTGCTGTTCCTGTGGGTAACTGCAAAGTTGTGAAACAGCTGCTGAGGTTTAACACATCAATTTTGGTTAGGAAACTTCTCAGCACAGCATTGAACTTCCTGTTCCAGGGCTTAATTTGGGGGCTAGAAGTGAGTGTTTGGGAACAATCAGAGCTGGAGCTGCTCCTCTCCTGAGTTTCCATGTTGAATTACTGATAGGATCACCTCTGGCCAGGGCCACTGCAGTGCTTTCTAACCTCCCGGTCTCCCTGGCTCCATGTTATTTCTTGCCATCATTCATGTCTATGATTGACTAAGTGAATGTTATTTCTTGCCACCATTCATGTCTATGATTGACTAAGTGAGATTTTTAAAACTGATCAAGTCATTCTTTAAAACCTGAGGCAGCACATGATGGCCCAAGTACTTGGAACCCTGCTTGTCCATTCCCCAACAAGAATCTTGTTCTCCTTGCCCTGTGTGGGAGACTGGATAGGGTTTCTGGTTCCTAACTTCGGTTCTGCCCAGAGCAACTAGCTGTTGTAGGCCTTTAGGGAGTAAACCAGTATATGGAAGATTCACTCATTCATTCATTCATTCTCTCTCTCTCTCTCAAATAAATAAGTAAACAAATAAATCTTTAAAAATATCCAGTATCTGCTTTTTCCTTATGTATCCAGTTTTAGTTCCCGATTTTTTTTTTTTGACAGGCAGAGTGGACAGTGAGAGAGAGAGACAGAGAGAAAGGTCTCCCTTTGCCATTGGTTCATCCTCCAATGGCCGCCGTGGCCGGTGCACTGCGGCCGGCACACAGCGCTGATCCGAAGCCAGGAGCCAGGTGCTTCTCGTTGTCTCCCATGGGGTACAGGGCCCAAGAACTTGGGCCATCCTCCACTGTACTCCCTGGCCACAACAGAGAGCTGACCTGGAAGAGGGGCAACCAGGACAGAATCCGGTGCCCCGACTGGGACTAGAACCCGGTGTGCTGGCGCCACAAGGTGGAGGATTAGCCTAGAGAGCCGTGGCGCCGGCCCAGTTCCCGATTTCTTACCCCACATTGATTATTCTCAAACAGAAACCTCATCCCTTCAGATGTAGTTTAGGTTAATGATGAAGAAGATGGACTTTGGCAGCAGATGGCTTGGGTTCAAATCCTGGCTCTGTCACTTTTGAGCTGTTAATCTTGAGCAAGTTAACTTCTCTGTGGCTCAATGTTCTGTATCAGTTAAGTGATGATACTAAAAATAGAAAGTGGGGTTGCAGTGAGGATTAGATGAGGTTAACGTCCATGAAGGTGAAGTACACTGAGTGTATAGAACTTTGCCTGGCTTATACTACACACTCTGTTCTCTTTAGCTGCTCTGGTGATATTGATCTCCTTTTTAAAAACAAGCCCAGGGGTTGGTGCTGTGGTGTATCGAGTAAAGCTGCCACTGTTCCCAGCTCCTGGCTGCTCTACTTCCTATTCAGGAAAGCAGTAAAAAATAGCCCAAGTCTTTGGGCCCCTGCACCCACATGGTAGACTTGGGGGAAGCTTCTGGCTCCTGGCTCCTAGTTTAGGATTGGCCCAGCTTCAGCTGTTGTGGCTGTTTGGGGAGTGAACCCAGGTATGAAAGACCTCTTTCTCTGCCTCTGCCTGTGTCTAACTCTGCCTTTCAAATAAATAAAAGAATTTTTTTTAAAAAATGTCTTACAGATTCCTGCAAAGTCCTCCCTGACATGTGCCTGCCCATCACTGTAGCCTCATTCTTCATTTGCATCAAGGAGATCTAGGTTAAGGAACTGGAGCCCACTGTGGTCCCACTCTGAGGACTTTCTCTGCTTTCCCTTCCTCCCTCTCTTCTTTTCTTCTTTGTGTACCATCTTGATCTGCAAGAAAGTGAAAGTACAAATGGGATGAGGATGAGAACTATCCTACATTTTATGTATATATGTATTTGAGAGACAGAGAGAGAGAGAGAACTCTCATTCACTGCTTCACTCCTGAAACGTCCAAAATGACTAGGGTTGTGTTAAGGCTGAAGCCAAATGGTCAGAACACAATCTGGGTCTCCCACATGGATGTCTGGATTACTTGTGCTGTCATCTGCTGCCTCCTAGGGTCTGTTTTAGCAGGAAGCTGGAGTCAAGAGCCAGAGCCAGTATCCAACCCAGACACTCTGATGTGGGAAGGGGATGTCTGAATCATCGTCTTTACCACTAGAACAAACACCCAACCCAGTCCTACATTTAAAATCAAAAATACACCCCGGACAGCAGTCAGCACCCCAGCTTGCCCATCTGCCAACAGAAACTCACTCCCTTTGTCCCTGATGTGTGGCTATGATGTTCATAGCTTTCAGCTTGACAGAGCTGGCTGATCTCCAGCTTCCAGTTCTACAGGGTTGAAGCAAAATCACAGGCAGACAAGGGGACTGGGCCAAAATTGGAATTGGAAAGTCTTTCAGTTCTTTTTTTTTCTGGAATATGAAATGCTACTGACTGAAGCAGAATGAGACCTGTAGCAGTTTTTGCTTCACTCACCTGCCATCCCCACAAACTCTCACAAGCTGGAACTCAGAGCGGGCCAACCACAGCCTTCATAACTGAACCCTGAGAGCAGTAGAAACAGAACGGCTAAGGGAGTTTACCCCACCCCGAAAAATGTTGCCAGCTAGTTAACTGGGGGAACCAGGTGTAGGAGCAGAGCTTAGGGTAAGAGAAGACAGAGACAAGGATATGGGGAAGAAATAGGAAACACCAGCTCTGCTTTTATGACTGTAGCCTTCTGTGCCTGTCATGCTCCTGCAGCTGCAGAGAATTCCCTGAGTGTGAGAAGAGCTTGTAGGAACCCAGCCAGGTTGGAAGATCACCCAGAGTGATCTTCATGAAGAGGAAAATACTCCTGTATCTGAGGAATAGAGAGCTTGAGAGAGAGTTGGGAGTGGGGAGAGAGAGGGAGAGAGGCAGACAAGCACAGACAAACAGCATAAGGCTGTGAATCTGATATGTATTCATAAATACCCAGCAGACATGTCAGAAAAAAATGCATATCATTGCACACAGCTAAAAATCATGTAATAACTGACATTTACTGAGTGCTTATTCAGAGTCCTGTGATGTTCTGAATGAAGTAAGCGAAGAACAAAGAGTTTAAGGTACTTGTCCAGTGTCTCCCACAGCTCATTTGGGGAGCTGCAAGTAGCCCACTGTAGTCATGCAGTTTAAATGTGTTGATTTCAATTTAGAGAGCCTGGGAAGTTGAGGATAGGAGCAACAGGTTGTCATATCCAGCTTGAAGAGCTTGGTTTATATCCAACAGGCCCTGGGGAACCATTGAGAGCTTGGGAGATGGAGTGACATAGTCACAGTATGCAATGAAATGATTCTCTGACAAGACGATCTTTGATGCTTTGGACTAGGGGCAACCAGGGCTTCAAGTTGGGGAGGGTTGAGGGTTGGGAAAGAGAACTCAGGTGGGCTGAGTACCGCAGGCCTAAGGCTATTCCTGTTCAAAGTAGCCTCAACCCCATCTTTGGCTTCATACGTCAATCCAGTTGGCAGGCTTGTGGAGCTGCCTGTCTCCTCCTAGAAGAGCCTCCTTCTTGCTCTCCAGTCACACATGAGCCCTGAGGCTCCCTTAATTGCAAAGACAGATATGAAGTGACAGCACAGAATTGTGCAAAGATACCATTGCTTATATCACCTTGGCATGAGATTGTACAAACTGACTGAGACCACTCCTCAGGTAATTCAAGGAAGCTTGAGAGGGCCTGGGATCATCATGCTGACAACACTCTGAGGGTTATCCAAGCCTTCTCAGGGCCCACGAGAGGGAAGTGACAGCATAAACGCCAAGATGTGCTACTTTGGGGTCACCAGAAGTGTGTCTCATACCTCTTTGCAGTTAGTTGTCATTCCTGAGGCTGCAATTTCACAGGCCCCTTCATGAAGCTATAGTGGGTACCACCAGTACCCAGAACTGAGCCTGGCTGCTTGCACAGCACACTCATTGCTCTGGGCTCTACCCAGAGTGCAAATTCTCCCATGCTTTCTAGATGTTGTGCCTGTTCTTTTGAGACAGTATCAATATCAATGAGAAATGGTAACAGTGCCTATGTCTTAGGCATGTGGCAAGTCTTAGTTGGCTGTAGAACTTATGCACATAAAATACTGATCTAGTTTTAGGATACTTTGTGTCATTGAGAGCTTTTAGAGGAGCATGTGCTAAAGGCTGTTAGAGTGTTGGCTTAAAATCCTGCCTGGCACAAATTATGAAACCTCTGTAGGTTTGCTGTGCTCATCTTTGTAATGGGAATTATAATGATAATAATAACATGGAAGACCATATCTTAATAGTCCGCTCCCTTAACCGATTGGCTAGACTAATCAACACTCTTCGTTCCCTCTCTACGTCCCACTCATGGATGCCCACATAACCTGAATGCTCATGGACAGGTGCTATTCTCCAGTATACTCACTCAATTCTGTTCCCAGTGATCAGCTACAGGCTGCAATCACATTCCCTAAGAGACTCCTGCTGCCCCCTCTACTGAGAGGCAGTGTGAAACAATAGCTCAGAGTCAAGACTCAGTAGCCAGACTGACTGACCTCTGGGGTGGGCGTTTGGCACAGTGATTAGGATGCTGCTTGGGACACTTGTATCCCAGATCAGAGTGCTTGGGTTTGAGTCTGGCTCTAAGTTCAATTCCACCTTTCTGCTGATGCATATCCTAGGAGGCAATGGATGATGATGATGCGAGTACTTAGGTCCCTGCTACCCAATGTGGGAGACATGGATGCAGTTCCTGCCTTCACTTGGCCCACCTCTAGCTGTCCGGGGCATTTGGGGAAGTGAAGTGGTGGTAAGGAAATCTCTCTCTCTCTCTCTCTCTCTCTCTTCCCCCCCCCCTTTCTCTCTCACTGCCCTTCAAGTGAATATAAAAATAAATTTATTTTTACAAAAATGCTATCTCTGGTCCTATTAGTTGTGTGTCCTTGAACATATTAATTAACATCTCTATACCCAGTCTCCTATTTATCTCATAGGATTATTGTGAGAATTAAATAAATATTTTTAAAGCACTAGAAAAGTACTTGGTACTAACCACTAAAATTGTGAAAATTAAGAGTCTGGCACCTAGTAGATTCTTAATTTATTAGATCCATCTTTTCTTTGGAATCTGGGTTCAATGTTCTTTACAGCTTGCTTCTCTGTCCTGAAAAAGGATGTACATCCAAAGATGTTGCACTTTTCCACTCCAGGCAGCCGCATCAATGGCAGGATGTAGTCTTCAATGGCTGGCCTAATATCAATCACTGAGCCATTTTCTGGCCTTCAATGAACATATTCCAGGACACAACCAGCCACATGGACAAAGCGGAGTTTCTAGAGGAAGCTGAAAGGGAAGAGAGGGCGGCCGCAGGTCAGAAGTAAAGAGCCAAGGGAGAGTTGGGTGGGTGAAAAGTTGACTAGAAAATTGCAGAGTCAATATTGGCAGACAGGCTAATGAAGGGCTGCAATTTGCAATTGTCTGTATCTCACTCTCTCTCCTTCTAGGGAGCTGGCATGTACCAGGCCCAGCTCAGGATGAATGCATGTGTGGTATTTGAGAGAATGTTTCAAATATGGGAGAGTAATCTCCCTACTGGGCTAAAGGATGACCTTCTCATGTTTGAAATTGTAGGCAAACCTTTAGAGACGCTGATAAAACATAGACACTAATAGAACAAGAAGGGATGTGGAAAGAAATCTGAGCCAGAAAGGAAAGAGACTACAGGAAAAGCAAAGAGTGGGAGAAAATGAAATATCTCATATTTCTGTACTTTTTGATAGGCATTGTGCCATACATTCAGTCTTTTATTTTTTAAAGATTTTTATTTATTTATTTGAAAGTCAGAGTTACACAGAGCAAGGAGAGGCAGAGAGAGAGAGAGAGAGGTCTTCCATCTGCTGGTTTACTCCCCAACTGGCCGCAACAGCCGGTTCTGCGCCAATCTGAAGTCAGGAGCTAGGAGCCAGGACCCTCTTCTGGGTCTCCCATGCGAGCACAGGGGTCAAAGGACTCAGGCCATCGTCCACTGCTTTCCAAGGCCACAGCAGAGAGCCAAATCAGAAGTGGAGCATCCGGGTCTCGAACCGGTGTCTATATGGAATGACAGCACTTTAGGCTAGGGCATTAACCCACCGCGCCACAGTGCCAGCCCCGACACACATTCAATCTTATTTATGCCTTAAAACAACTCTATTAGGTTCATGATATTCCTACTTTACAGCTGAGACAAGATGCCTAGAGACCCAGCACCATCCAAGTCCAACATTGCAGTGCCAGGATGGATCTCAGTCTGTCTGACTCCAGGCTTTGTGGTCTTCCTCTTATACCACACTGCTTTCAAACAAATGCAGGAGCACTGCCCTGGTATTGTTATTGGCACTATGGGGCAGTTGTTTGAGGTAGGTGCTGAAGATGGCAAGACCTAAAAATTTGCTTCCCACCTTGACATCTTCCATCTCTGTAATCTTAACCATCTCACATCCTCTGGTAGTGATAGATCCTGCCTGAAGATTCAGTGGCAACATGGATAGAGAAAGGGATTGAGCACATTGTCAGAGAGGTGCAGAGCATCTGAGTGCTTGGTCAATAGCCACTCCCCCAGTACTTTTACTTTCATTATTTCATTATTCATTTAGTTCATTACCTTAGTTGTGCCAGTTTTTTTTTTTTTTTATTTGACAGAGTTAGACAGTGAGAGACAGAGAGAAAGATCCTCCTTCTGTTGGTTCACCCCCCAAATGGCTGCTACAGGCGGAGCTACGCCGATCTAAAGCCAGGAGCCAGGTGCTTCCTCCTGGTCTCCCATGTGATGTAGGTGCCCAAGCACTTGCATCCTCACTGCCTTCCCGGGCCACAGCAGAGAGCTGGAGTGGAAGAGGAGCAACCATGACTAGAAGCCGGCACCCATATGGGATGCCGGCGCCACAGGCAGAGGATTAACTAAGTGAGCCACAGTGCCGGCCCCAGTTGTGCCAGTTTTAACAATTTTGTATAAATTGGAGCTCTTGAAGACTGTGACCCTTGCTTAGAGAGAGATTATCCAGGTTTCAGAGCTAGAGGGAACCTCAGAGAAGCTGGTCATTCCCAACCCAACATCTTACAGAAGGGAAACTCAAAACAGAGAATTTGTGCCAGGTCACATACAATGTGACACCTCTGATGCCATAACACTGATCACACTTCTAGGCACCTAGGAAATAGTCTATAAGAAATGTCTGTTCAACCAGTTCTGCCTTCTCAGCCTCTTTTTACCCCTGAACAGCCTGCGTGGTATTTCTCATTCCTTAACTGGTTGAAGAACTTGTTAAAACAGCCGAAATTGAGGTTGGGGGAAGGCTTTGTGGTGATTTTGGCCCACCTACCCCTGACTCCTGGCTTCTCTTTCAACCACAAAAGCCTACTTTGTTTTCCTTCAGGGTGAGCAAAGAAATTCCCAGCTGTACTGGACCTTGTGAACAACAGAGCAGTTTTTATGGAGCCCGGGGAAGAGTTTGCAGTGTTGTGGTTATTTGTAGCTTTTATCAACCAACAATGTAAATTAAATTAATTAAAAAGCATTGTACATTTCTAATTCCAATACTGGATTCACTCAGTGGCCATGCAAATTTTGAATAATGAGTAATAGTCATCTCTAATTTCTCAACATATGTCTTTTCACTTACACAGCTGTGAAAAAAATTATATTTATGTTTTTGTTTGCATAATTTCCAGCCTGAAAACAGAACTCGTATTAGCATTAAAATGTCAACAGGTGTCATCTTTTCTCTTTTTTTCTTTTTCTGGTGAGCTGGAATAATCCTCTCTTTGGCAGGAAGCAGTATTTTTTTCACAGTCACTTTTGCATCCTTAAGAACGCCTTTTAAATTATTTTCTACTTGATGAAACACATCCTCTCAAGGCTTCATTATTTTCACCCTTGTTTTATCTGATTGAATATTTGAATCATGAAAACTTGGGAGATTGGAGTCATTTCCTACCCGAGACTGCACAGAACTATGACCAGGGATGTTGATAACATTTTGAAGGTTTTTTTGCTAAGAAATATCCATGACTTTAAATGACCCAACTGCATTTGAAGCCTAGATTGTGTTTATTGATTAGAAAATATCTTCTAGGTACAAGGTAATCAAGCCAAATGCAGTTTATTTCTACATCCATGCAAGAAGAGCTGTAAAGTAAGAAACATTCCTATGAGAACTTGTCAGTTGGTCAAAACTGCTTTTATTTTCAGTCTACAAAAATTCTTCTGACAAAGTTTAAGAATTCAGAGAAAAGCAGAATAAAGGTTTAATAGTTATCCTGAGCCAGTGCTGCGGCTCACTAGGCTAATCCTCCACCTGCAGCCCCAGCATACCGGGTTCTAGTCCCAGTCGGGGTGCCGGATTCTGTCCCTGTAGTCCCTCTTCCAGGCCAGCTCTCTGCTGTGGCCCAGGAGTGCAGTGGAGGATGGCCCAAGTGCTTGGGCCCTGCACCCCAAAGGAGACCAGGAGAAGCACTTGGCTCCTGGCTTCGGATCAGCACGGGCCAGCTGCAGTGGCCATTGGAGGGTGAACATATGGCAAAGGAAGACCTTTCTCTCTGTCTCTCTCACTGTCCACTCTGCCTGTCAAAAAAAAAAAAATATCCTGAAAGGCAATTCTTGCTCCTGTATTCCTCCCCAGTTAACATCACATTATGGGCTTTATCACCCTGCCTCCTCTGCCCAGTGCCCCCATGCTATTACACTTCTTCAGACTGCCTTCTCTAAGACCTAGCAAAAGGGTCTCCTCCTGAGCAAAGATGTCCCTCTTTTATTACCAGTGCTGTTATCACCCTGACATCCTTCCACTCATATCATCGAGACAGAGGCTTTCCCACTGATATTGCACATTATCTTTTAGGTTAAGACAGAACTCATTACATAAGTTAAGAGTTTGGGTTCTAGAGCCAAGTTGCCTGACTTCACATCTCAGCTCTGCCATTTACTAGCTGTGTGACATTGGGTAAATCACGTAACTCTCAGTGCCTTGATTTTACCATTGTGCAATAGAGAAATAAATTATACTAATAATTATACGTATCTGGTAGATGTCTATGACAATCAAATGAGATAATATGTCTGAAGTACTTGAAACAGTAGCTAGAAAATAGTAAGCATATAACTAATGACTACTATATCTGAGTGGTCGTTGGTATAACTTCATTGAGTTTGTCTTAGGGTCAACTTCCTCTTCCACTAGATTGAGAGACCCTTGAGGACTGGAATACCATTTTATCATCTTGTATGTTGGGTGCCTGATATTGTGCCTGGCATATAACAGGTGCTCAGGAACAGATGTGGGTGGAATGAATGAATAAATCAAATTAGACAGACAATCTGGAAGTTCAGCAGACAAAGAGACACCCCCCTCCTCAGTTATGTAATATAGTTATCATGTCTCTGACACTTCTTACTTTTTTTTTTAAACTAAAAACTTACTTCCTTTCGTGGGAAAACAGTTAAAACATGGTAGGAGTGTTTGCTGCACATTTGCAAGGTTTAAATCCAACATCCACACTCTAGTGGCCTGACTTGTTCTATTTTCCTTCCCTTTGCCATTGCCAAAATGAATATCCATTGATGGGATTTCTAGTATTCATCACATGCAGCCACCAGATGGATCTGAATAGTTTCTCTAACAACCAATTTGCATTTGGTCTCTGCTTCCAAAATGCCTTCCCATTATAGCTTCCATTCGCCTCCTGTGCACTCCATCATCTTCTACTCTTGTCTGAAGGCCGTGCCTCTAATTTTAGAAATTGCGGATCAATTTGATACAACTGAGTCACATGGAGTTAAAACAAGGACTTTATTTTATTGTCAAATCATGACTTGCTCACACATATCAACTTCTATGATGGAACAAAATTTGTTACGATGATCTTTTGCAGAGTCCGCAAGGGATTGTTGCGAGACTGATTTTACCCCTACCCAGTTCCAAAGGCTCATTCTTTGGGTTCTGTTGCCTAATGGGCATGGTCCTCGAGCCAAAATGTTCTTGTTAAAGTTGTTATGCTTATTTGGGACTCATGTTAGGTTTCATGAACTTAAATGAAGAGTAAGTAATAAATTCATAGTGGAAATTGGGTTAGCATGTGATTAACATCTCGGCTGATGCAGACGGGTGTACCAATGATGGAAACATGTGCTTGTATCGTGATGAAATGCAGATTAGAGACCCTGGAGCCAACCCAAGGAAATCTGCCCAAAACTGTTTCATCTCTGTCAGCTTTAATCTGATCGAGTGAGAACATACCTCAGTGCAGTGAGAAAAATGTGAAAGCCTGATATAACCAAGTAGCATGCCATCTTCCATTGAGATGTGATTAAAATACTCACTTTCCATTGTGATACAGAACAATGTTTACTGGACCACAACCTAAAGGACCTGAATTCATATCTCATCTAAGTCACTAATGTAGGCTGTGGATTCACACAGAGCCTTGGTTTTTGCATCTGTGAAATGAATTTTCTGGGTTAGACTGATGTTTTTCAGTAGTTTTTCTCCTTCACAATACAAATGAAAAATGATATTCATGCACTCCCATGAGCAGCCCCAGGGTTGTGCACAATTACTCCTGTACTTGTTACAGCTCAGTCCCTCTCCTGCTCAAGTAAGCATATCGGAAAGCACATGAGTGAGACTGACATTTTAAGATAACCTTGAGTCCCGTTCTGTCTCATTTATTTAAAAAATTAAAAAGCAAATAATTTGGAAACTTGGGTACATCGTTATTAATTTTTAAAATGTGGTTTACTCCCCAGTTCCCAAAAGGTTTCTCACCAAACTCGAGCGGATAATCTCTTGACTAAATGATGTAGCAGCCCCCTCGTGATGCTTCATTCTGTACCTCTGTGAGTTACTCTAATTGCTAGTAAAGTCCTAGGCATTGATTAAGCATTTGGGATAAAATAACAAGGAACATGTTTTCATAGGTAGGACTGACTTCCATGGTTATACTCATTTCTCCCTGGGAAATGGCTTGTAGCAGTAGTGACTTTCTGATTCTTATGCTGATGTGCTAAACAGAGCTGGGTTTCTAAAATGAGGGCATAACATCATCACTTGAGAGTAAGATGCAGGACTTTTAAAAATTTGAATGTACTGGGGCCGGCGCCCTGGCTCACTTGGCTAATCCTTGCCTGTGGTGCCGGCATCCCATATGGGTGCCGGCTTCTAGTCACAGTTGCTCCTCGTCCACTCCAGCTCTATGCTGTGGCCCAGGAAGGTAGTGTAGGATGGCACCTGCACCCATGTGGAAGACCAGGAGGGCCGGCGCTGCAGCTCACTAGGCTAATCCTCCGCCTTGTGGCGCCGGCACACAGGGTTCTAGTCCCGGTCGGGGCGCCGGATTCTGTCCTGGTTGCCCCTCTTCCAGGCCAGCTCTCTGCTGTGGCCTGGGAGTGTAGTGGAGGATGGCCCATGTGCTTGGGCCCTGCACCTCATGGGAGACCAGGAGAAGCACCTTGCTCCTGCCATTGGATCAGCGCGGTGCGCCGGCCGCAGGGCGCCGGCTGCGGCGGCCATTGGAGGGTGAACCAATGGCAAAAGGAAGACCTTTCTCTCTGTCTCTCTCTCTCTCACTGTCCACTCTGCCTGTCAAAAAAAAAAAAAAAAAAAAAAAAAAAAAAAAAAAAAAAAAGACCAGGAGGAAGCACCTGGCTCCTGGCTTTGGATCAGCATAGTTGGGCAGTAGTGGCCATTTGGGAGGTGAACCAACAGAAGGAGGATCTTTCTCTCTGTCTCTCTCTCACTGTCTAACTCTGTCAATAAAAAAAAATTGAATGTATGAATGTACATTGTTTATTAAGCTGAAAACAGCAGTGAGTCATGTTTTTTTTTAACTTTTATTTAATGAATATAAATTTCCAAAGTACAGCTTATGTATTACAATGGCTTCCCCCCCATAATGTCCCTCCCACCCGCAACCCTCCCCTTTCCCATTCCCTCTCCCCTTCCATTCACATGAGGATTCATTTCAATTCTCTTTACATACAGAAGATCAGTTTAGCATACATTAAGTAAGGATTTCAACAGTTTGCTCCCACACAGAAACATAAAGTGAAAAATAATAGATGATTTTTTAAATGATGATGAAATCAGATCAGACCTATTGTCATGTTTAATCCCAGTGAGAGTCAAGTTGGGAATTGATAATTTCTTCTTTTTTTTTTTTTAACAGAAGATCAGTTTAGTATACATTAAGTAAAGATTTCAACAGTTTGCACCCCCATAGAAACACAAAGTGAAATATACTGTTTGAGTACTCGTTATAGCATTAAGCCTCAATGCACTTACTCCTTCTGTAGGATCTCTGTCCTTAATGTGAGTCATGTTTTTAAATGTCTCATTGTAGAATATTTTTCTGGAGGAAAACAAAATGGGAGTTTATAGTATGGTGACTGTTAACATTTTGAAGGATGATGATAATAGATGCCAAAGACCATTGAAATTTAATGTAAAACTTAAATATAAAAAGGACCTATACAATTTTACTTTTCTGACAGTGTGGTGGTCAAGTAACCTGAAAAGCATTATAACATCAAATATCTGGATAAACCTTTGCATTTGTAAATGCTAAACTGAGCCCACAAAGAAAAATCAAGCAGAAAATACAAGAGTTAAGCCAAAACAAAACCCAGTCAGTTAAAATAGTAACTATAAACCTTTGAGTGAAGAGCAGAAATTTCATTCCCAGCAACTACAGGACATGGGTTTTAATTCCACACTGGGAAAAGAGACTAATATTTGGACTCTCTCACACTGCAACAGAGAAAACCTTGATAAAGCCTGACTTTAGATAAGAGAGTATACTAAGTAATATTCACTTATTAACACAGAGACAATGCTGAAATTTAGAAATCCTTTTGATTTAAGGACAGGGAAAATTTTTTGCTTTAAGAATTAAGAGAGGCTGGTGCTTTAGTCTAGTAGGATAAGCCTCTGCCTGTGGTGCAGGCATCCCATGTGGGCACCAGTTCATCTCCCAGCTGCTCCACTTCTGATCTAGCTCTCTGCTCTGGTCTGGGAGACCAGTGTAAGATGGCCCAAGTGTTTAGGCTCTGTGCTTGTGTGGGAGACCCAGAAGAAGCTCCTGGCTCCTGGCTTCTGATAGGCCCAGCTCTGGCTGTTGCACGGCCATTTGTGGGGTGAACCAGCAGATGAAGACCTTTCTCTCTATCTCTTCCTATCTCTGGCTATAACTCTGCCTCTCAAATGAATAAATAAAATCTTCAAAAGAGAAAGAATTAAGAAAAATGAAAGTGGACTGGAGATCTAAGTGTATACTCTCCTGCAATAGGAAACTCTAAACCAAATCCAAATTTGACCCTAAGATACCAAGCAAAAATAAGGAGAAAATATCCAAGGATATATAATCCAAGCTTCACAGGATTCCCATAGAGAAATATGGAGAAATAAAAAATTTGGAACTGCAAAAGCATGTAAGGATTCAAATGAATATGAGGGAGAATCTGCTGTCACCAAACAACAAAATTAAGTGCCCAAGGACATTAGGTGATATAAAGGGTGAACAGAGACTATAAAAGAGGGATGTTTAAATCAATAAAATTATGAAAAGGAATTGAAGTTTAAAAAAATAAACAAGGTAGCATGAAAAAGGAAAGGAAAAATTTTGAAGATACCAAATGGAATTTCTCCCAATAAAAGCTGCTATTGTTAAAATAAACAAAATTGATAAAATGGGTTTAAGCAGTAGTTGGGATGTATTTGAAAATATAACTAGTGAACTGGAGTACAAAAATAGCTGGAATGTATACAGAGAAATAAAGTAGTAAATAATATGAAAATTTGGCCAGCGCCATGGCTCACTAGGCTAATCCTCCACCTGTGGCGCCGGCACTCCGGATTCTAGTCCTGGTTGGGGCGCTGGTTCTGTCCCGATTGCTCCTCTTCCAGTCCAGCTCTCTGCTGTAGCCTGGGAGGGCAGTGGTGGATGGCCCAGGTGCTCAGGCCCTGAACCCGCATGGGAGACCAGGAGGAAGCACCTGGCTCCTGGCTTTGGATCAGCGCAGCACGCTGGCTGTAGCGGCCATTTGGGGGGTGAACCAACAGAAGGAAGACCTTTTTCTCTGTCTCTCTCTCTCTCACTAACTCTGACTGTAAAAAAAAAAATACAACATAGAAACCAACAGTCATACTCCTGGGAATTCATTCCTAGAAAAATAAAAACTTTGATCCACACACACAAAAAAATCCGCACAAATATATTCATGGCAGACATATTTCAATACCCCCAGATTGGAAATAAACAAAATGCCCTTCAACTATTGACTAGTTAAACCAACTTTGGCACATCCATACTATACTACACAGCAAAAAAATGGTATGAATAATCAATACACACAACTTGAATGGATCTCAAGACAAGTACAATGAATTTTTTAAAATCCAATATTAAAGGATCATATACTGTGTGTTTTGCATTAACATATTGTTCTCAAAATATCAAGTTTATAGAGATGAGAACAGATTAGTTCTTGCAACAGATTAGGGAATGTGGAACGGGTGGGAAGACATGAAGAAGGTCTTTGTAGTAATAGAATAAACCTTGACTGGAGCAGTTACTATATGAATCCATACATGTGATGAAATAGGATAGCACTATAAACATACATTGCAACAATGTCAATTTCCTGGATTGGGCATCCTACTGTTGTTATGTAAGATGTAGTCTTTGAAGAGACCTTGGATGAAAGGTACATGAAACCCAACTGTACTGTGTTTTATACCTTTTAATGAAGCTATAATTATTCCAGAATAAAGTTTAGTCTAAATGGAAAAATCAGTATAGACTAAGGAAAGATCTAAAAAGCCACCAGTAATGATAAAATCATAGCAAATTTATCAGAAGTAATGATTGAAGCCAGGTGGCAATAAAATATCTTCAGAACTCATTATCAATTCAGAATTCTAGACCCAGCTAAGCTATCTTTTGAAGTATGGCTAAAATCAAGACACTTGCAGACAAAAAGCTGAAAAAACTTATGAGAAAATGTAAACTATCTACTGTATATAAACTATATTGTGCATATAAAGATAATTGAAAAATGAGTCTTGATGAAGAAATGGGATGGGAGACAGAGTAGGAGATGGGATGGTTGTGGGTGGGAGGGAGGTTATGGGGGGAAAAGCCACTGTAATCCAAAAGTTGTACTTTAAAAATTTATATTTACTAAATAAAAGTTGAAAAAAAATTAAGTAATGAAATAAGCAATATGCAAGAAAAATGGAGAGAAAAGACAAAGATGAAAATGTGAGTAAATCTCAATAACTGCTCATTGTAAAAAACAAATAATATTGTGTTTATTCATTCAGTCCAAAAGTATGTATTCGTACTGTGTGTTAAGCACTGTTGTAAAAGGAATTGCAACAGTGTCATTTTTCTGGTATTAAATGGATAGAGTAAGAAAATAGTCATGGATTTGTGGCTTTAATAATAAGAAATTACTACAATACTATGCAAAATCTAAAGGTAAGACATGAAGAAGTTGATCTGATTTAAAACAGGTCTCAATAGTTTTTCTTTTGCTTAAGAATAGAGAGCTTCTTAAAAATCAACTTTGTATTTTAAGTCAAGTGCTTTTTATTTTAAGAATACATATAAATATCTTCTAAACTAGCAGAGAGAAATATTGGCAATAAAGAAAACTTAATCCAATAGAATAGAGAAATTAAGGGGAAACATCTTTTTTAATGAAGAGTAAATAAAAAGCACAGATTGTTAGAACAAATCCATAGTTATCAGTTGTCACAATCTACGTAAATATACTAAAATCAGGTAACTATACAAATCATATTAAATTTAAAAATCCAAATATATGGTACTTAAAAATGTACTGAGGTCCCTAGGAAAACTTGCAGGTTTTTCTCCACCCCCACCCCCCATCCCCCAGGATAAACATCTGGAACTCTAGAGACCAGATTAAGGATCTAGGAACTAGCCCTGATTTGTCCAAAGCCCTGACTTTAACAATGAGGGCTGAACTTTATGATGAAGTAAATATGCCCATAATGAGGACATTGAAAGATCGACAGCTGAAAAAAAGAAAGAAAGAAAGAAAGAAAGAAAGAAAGAAAGAAAGAAAGAAAGAAAGAAAGAAAGAAAAATATGTACCAGCTTCCATAGAAAGGATACTATCTGTACCTGATCTGAGACATGAATGGAAGGCAAGACACTTAGGTGCTTGGAATGAAAGCCAACTTGATTTGGCTCTTAGAACTTGCATTTCTTCAGTAGATTCTACCACTACTATGGGGAAAATAATATATAAAGGACTATGGGTGTTGAAAAGTTGATATGCCACTATTTGTAATCATCCTCCTCTTATAATTTAATACTGTTTTTATAATAGCATGCTGAAAGCTCATGTGGTCCTTCTCCAAATCACCTACATCTCTGGCTATAGAGGGAAAAGCCACTCTCTTGTACTAAACATACAGTCGGCTTTGGAAGCTATAGGTAGATAGATTGGTGAGGAGGGAGAAAATAATATAATATCAGATCAGCCAATTCTGCTCTAAAACTCAGTCAGAGACAAATATTATGGGCATATTTACTTCATAAAGTCCAGCCCTCATTGTTAAAGTCAGAGCTTTGGACAAATCAGGGCTAGTTCCTAGATCCTTAATCTGGTCTCTAGAGTTCCAGATGTTTATCCTGGGGGATGGGGAGGGGGAGTGGAGAAAAACCTGCAAGTTTTCCTAGGGACCTCAGTACAGTAAAACCATAAGTTAAATAGATTAATATATTGGAAACGTTTGCATAATACAATTAGAAACAATTAGAATTGTCCAGCTTTGAAATTCAGCTTCCTTTGTCAGATACATGCAAAATTACATTTTTATCAACACAGGATAGAGTTGGCATTACTTTCTTAAGTTAGTTCTCTTACAACAATGAGTGCTCATGAACTTATATTTTAACTGACTTTTCCAAAAGACCACACAGGTAATAAAGTCTTGATTTCTTCTTTATAAAAGAACTCAAAACTGGAGTCATTCAGGTTCCTTCGCTGGTAGTGATCGCTTTTTGTTTGAAAATGGTACTCAAAGTCATACATCTTGAAGTTGGAATAAACCATTTCTAAAACCAAAATCTCCAACTGATGCTGGAATTTGTATCACAAATTGAAAGGTCCAAAGAAGCCAGTTATTTACCTTAAGTGAGTGAGGCTGGCTGGGGAAATCCTAGGTAGGTTTCTGGGGATTGCAGCAAACTGGTGGGGACAGCTTCCATTTATTGCCAGAGGAGGGAAATTCAGGTCTAGTTTCTTCCCATTTCTTAGGAGAAGCCAGAGATTGTGATTTTATGAGGATGTATCTGCCTTGTCAAAATTAATTCAAAGCTTTCATTAAATCTTTTTCATATGCCAAGCACTACCCTAGATTCTGATGATACAGCTATGACTAAAACATGATTCATGACTTAAAGGAGTGTGAAATTTTGCAAAACAAGATATATAATAAAGAGCATACTGCCATTCCATAAATGATTACATAGAGATAGATGTCTTAGAGGAAAATAGGGGAATATGATTTTTCAGTAGAGTTGGAAGATATATATATATATATATATACCCTTTGAATTATCCCTTAAAAGATAAAAATGTTTACCTTTGTATGAGCAAAGGAATGGAGTGATAGATGCTCAGGGATACACAGTGAAAGATGACTGGGGTAGAGCAGCTGGAAATAAAGTTAAGGTAAAGTAGGCAACAGCCAGGTTGGAGATGTTTATTTACTCCAAGTAAAGGCGTTTGTTCTCTGTCCCGGAAGAAATAGATAACATACGATGATTGTAGCCAAAGTTTTTATTTTTTGTATTCAAATTAATTTTAGTAAAAAAATTAGGAAAATAGTAGATAGGAGCTCAAATTTGGAAGACAAAACTGGAGTTAGGAAATCAAGAGACAGAAAAATGTGAACTCAGCAATGGCTATGGCAACAGAAGAGGAGTTAGCCTCGAATGACCAATGGCTTCAGAAGTAAAGGAGAAGGGGAGATCAAATTCAGTGGGAAATTGAGTGCTGTTGATGCTCCCAACGAGTTAGAAAAGAGGTAGGAGGAACTCAACAGAGAGGAGAGTAGGCAAATAGCAGGGAGAGAATATTAATACCATTAAAAGTCCATCTTTTAATTTTATAGTAATTTATGTATGTTTCCTTATAACTTCTACCTAGAATTTCTCTTCTGATTTTGTAAAGTTAGAGTAAGTTCGAGGAAATAACATCTCCCTATTTTTGCTTTGTTCCCATCATCATCCCGACACTCTACCCTGAGACTCTTGAGTATATACAGGCAGCATAGTTTGGGGGCATCTAGGTTCTTTACAAAATGGGTGTTCACCAGCTTACTGTATTGTGTTGTCTTTTTATTAAACCCTACAAAAATAAACTGAGGCAGAGTCAATTTCTAGTTAGCAACTTAAGATAAGTTTCTAAACTTCTCTTTGAATCAGTTGCTTTCCTGTAAAATAGAGCTGGGGCCAGTGTTGTGGCACAGCGCATTAATGCCCTGGCCTGAGGCGCCAGCATCCCATATAGGCGCCGGTTCGAGACCCAGCTGCTCCTCTTCCGATCCAACTCTCTGCTATGGCCTGGGAAAGCAGCAGAAGATGGCCCAAGTCTTTGGGCCCCTGCACCCGCGTGGGAGACCTGGAAGAAGCTCCTGGCTCTTAGCTTCTGATCAGCGCAGCTCTGGCCATTAACCATCAGATAGAAGACTCTCTCTCTCTCCCTCCCTCTCCCTTTCTTCTCTGTGTGTAACTCTGACTTTCAAATAAAAATATAATAAATCTTTAAAAAATAAGAGCCCTTATTTCCTAAAGATGCTATAAAACGTGGAGCTATATATAAAGTACTTACTATCAGTAATCTAGAAAGTACTTTTTAAATTTCCATTGTTGATGATGTTACATATAGTGAATCTAATGTAGATCACAAATTAATATAGACCCCAACTTAGAATTGTGAAGATATTGCATGCTGTTTATTCTTTTCTGAATTCAGGAAGGAGAAAGAGAAGTTGCAGGTGCTAAAGAAAGAGGCTTATAGTCAGGCCATCCAGATGCCCTGGGCTGAGGAATACTGTTCTGGTAAATGTATCTATACCTATTCAGTCATTTATTACCTTGTTCATTTATTCAATCACTTTCCTCTCCATTCATACTTTGCTTTGTCTGTTCAATAGACAAGTATTACAGTTTGGCCATTTGTCAAGCACTGGGCTAACTGTTAGGAACCCCTAGAACACACAGATTTATTGGAAGATAGGTGAATAAGTGATTATAATATAGTGGGTGGTAAGAGACACATGGAGTGCCCCCCCCCTCAACACACACACGTAAAATAATGCCCAGAAGGAGTAAGATGTTCCTCCTGAAGACAGACGTCATTTGGATTGGGTTTTAAAAAGTAGAGAAGTTTTTCAGGCAATAATGTGGGGTGAGGGGTAGTGTATGTAAATAAGGAGACCCATCAACCTTGTCAAGAGATACCAGTTTGCTTCTGGTTTTAAGGAATATCCTTGTATAAAGATGCAAGCATTGGGAGGATGGAAGAGCAAGTAAGAGATGAAGCTAGAAATGCCAGGACTGTGATCCATTGCAAAGGAAACCAGGGTTTCCTGTGGGCACTGGGGAAACCCTGGAAACATGTGATGTCATAATGACATTGGTTTGTTTAGAAGAATCTCCCTGGTAGGATTCAATAATAGGACAGAAAGGACACCAGCTAGTGGCAGTTCCTAGGTAATCTCTCTTTAGCTCCCTGATGACAACCGAACATGGTCTTTCACAGGATGTTTTTTGAGATTCTGCAAAACTGAGGGCACTTCAAAACAGCTCCTCCCTGCCTTTTCTTTAAATCTTTAAATTCGGTAAGTCTGTATTATCTTAGGTCTTGGAATGTTAATGATTTTGACTAATTGTCAACACTGGCAATTACCATGACTGATACCTTATCATTTCTTAGAGTGAGCGATGCTAATTAAAATTGATTGTGCTAGAGTAGAGTTTCAGCAGCAATTGTACCCCCCTCTTTTTTGTGTGTATTTAAGACATGAGTTTATTGTGCTGATTTGGTGAACTACACAAGGCAGACTCATTATTCCGTTGTTTATTTCCTGATCCTGCTTGTGAACTACATTAGCAACAATTATGAAGTGTCAGGAAAACAGTAAGAGTAACTGAATTTGTGTGCTAAGAAAGATCCTCCATTCTGATTAATTGGCTGATTGATTCACTCATTCATTACTTCATCTGACCGAACTTTCTTAGGCATCTTTTATGTACCCAAAACTGTGCCAGGCACAAGGGAAACAAATGACATGCTAATGATGTGAAAAAGGGGCGATACATTAAGTTTATGAGCTGGAGACCACACCTACCCCACCTCCATGCAGTCCTATCACAATTCAGATGACCCCTCCCCAAGATGCATCTCCCCTTACCTGGAAACTGGGGGCAGCACTCTGTAAGCCCTCTGCTGTTGGCAGCTAGTAAAAGCCCGGTGAAGGGGAGGGGCTCTCCCTTTTCTCTCTCCTCACCTGTGAACCCAGGACAAGCAGAGCAGCGTATGGAATTCCTCCTTCACCTTTCCTGGCTAAATCTCCCTAAATGAAACCCTCATGGGCCTGTATATTCTCACTTTCTAAATAAACATCATGCTGCATGCCGTGTTTGAGCCTGTACTTAGAATTCTTCTCTGAGTAAAAGGTAAAGCTTGGTATATTCATTTTGGCCCAATCTAGCCCACAACACTATGACTTGAGGAATTTGTCACTTAGTGAAAGACCCATTGTGATATAATCGTATATGCTATATAAGGGTATAGTGGGCAAACATCAGCTCTGCCTGCAAGAGCAAGGCTAGATTACACAAACAAGGGGAGGGCCTTAAAATATGAGCAGGGACCTCTTTATTTGGCTTGTATTATTGCTATGTGTCTGCACCTGGTGGATTTTTAAGACTTTTCAAGAGTTTCAAGAGAAATTAGCCAGAGAACTAGGGAATCAAGACCAGGAATTGGGCTCTGAAAATTCAGGTTGAAAAGAAAGGAAATGCACCCCAGGCAGGTGGCATGAAATAGGTAAGTATCCAGGTGAGAAGGAATCAGTCCCGTGTTTGAGGACAGATGAGAAGATCAGGCTCACTCTGCAGTGCCTAGGGCATGCTGCAGATGATAGCTCTGGCTATGCCATTCAGTTAGACCCTAGCAGAGCATTGTTGGGGTACTTGGCCTGGAGCCCCTCGTTAGTTCTGAGGTATTTAAATTCCCTCAGGTCCTGGGAGTATTGCACAGCCAACAGCTCATGGCTGAGTCTCTCTTTAGGCATTGCCAAGGGCATAAGGAAATTGTTTTTGGCCAAGATCAAGCCTCCTCCAGCTGGAACTCAGTGACTGGCTCCAACCCTTACCCTAGATTTGAGACAGTTAGGAAGGGTCCTCTCCACCCCACAGTCCCAGTGGGATCAGCTGAAGCTTCTCATCCAACAGCAGCACAGTTCAACAGCTTCCTTGGCCCAGTCCTGCTTCTCACGTCCTTCCTGGATGGGAGAGAGCTGTCCTCAGCAAACTTCTAGCCTGCGGGTTTCGGTCTCAGGCCTATTTCTATAACAAGCACTCTGTGCTAGATTTGGGGGGCTCAGTAATGTAACAAAGAAGGTCTCTGACCTCATGAAATTTACAAATTGCTGAGAAGTTAAGGCTTCTGAAAGCAATGTTTGTATAGCTTCAGGAAGTTTTTTTTTTTTTTTAAAAGGATTTTATTTATTTATTTGACAGAGTTACAGACAGAGTGAGATACAAAAAAGTCTTACATGCGCTGGTTCACTCCCCAAATGGCTGCAACAGCCAGAACTGGGCTGATCCAAAGCCAGGAGCCAGCAGGAAGGAGCCTTCTATGCAGGTACAGGGGGCCCAAGCACTTGGACCATCTTTCCCAGGCCATACCAAAGAGCTAGATCAGAAGAGGAGCAGCTGGGACTAGAACTGGTGCCCATATGGGATGCCGGCTCCATAGGCGGAGGATTAACCTGTGCCACAGTGCCAGCCCCTCAGAAAGTTCTTAAGCCTATGAAATACATGAACAAAAGGAGGCGGAGGAGGAGAAAAGAAAAGATTAGAATATCCTTTACATTTTCCTGGAAAATTATTTCTAGTTCCATACTCCACAGCTATGCAGCCTAAGTAAGCTTTTTTTTTTCTGAAGCAAAAAAATTTTATTTATTTATTTGCAATAAAAAGTTACTTCCTAATATCATCTTTTTAAAAATTTAGGAGATAATGTAAATGTGAGCATTAATTTAGTGATTATTGATATTAAGAATTTTTAAAGGTATGATAATAAATTATACCTAACTGAAAAAAGTATTTATATTTAATTTTTTAATTTTTAAAATTTGAGAGGCAGAGAGAGAGAGAGAGCTACCTTCTGCTCACTCACTCTCCAAATACTTGCAATGGCCAGGGTTGGGCCAGAGCCAGGACTGGGAATCAAACCCAGTGGGATGCAACCATCTTAACTGCTAGACCAAACACTTGCCCAGAGTCTTTTATTTAGACACACATACTGAAATATTTAAGGAAGAAATAATATGATACAAAAGATTTGCTTCCAAGAAAAACTGAAGAGGGAAATGAATAAGTATATAAATGCAACAAAATTGGCCCTGGGTTTTTCTTCATTGTTGAAGCTGGATGATGGGAATTGACTATACTTTTCTGATACTTATAGAAATGTTTAGAATACTGCAAAATAAGAACATTTTAATATATTTATCTTATTACAATGATACTGATCTATATACATCATATTTTAAAATTCCAAGTACAGAAAGACTTACAAAGGAAAACAATGTCTCTGGCCTACTTCCTTTGCTGGTCCCACACTCCAAAGGAAACTAGTTTTGACCTATTTAGGGTCGAGGGTCTTTCTGAAGGTCATTGCTGTGTTTCTAAATCAGCTGTTTATCCAGTTCTTAATTGTTCTCCCTGTATATTATCCATGGGTTCCTGCAGTGACCAGTGAAAATTTTATTTCCCATTTCCTAAACCCATTCTTCCCTATGTTGGTTCCTCCTCCAGTCATGGTAGCTTCTCATAGCACACTTCACATCTGTTTCCTGCCCCCTCACATAGCCATTCTCTCTTGGCTCCCTGTTTTATAGAACAATGTCATTACTGAGTTCACCCTCCCACCCACATTCCTCCCATAACTCCAACACTGACAGCATCTATTTGCTGTTCTGGAACCATGACAGTCTTCAGTGAATTACTGGAAGTTTTACTTCAAAACTTAAAAATTGATCATGGAATTTCAGTTGTTCTCCCTACATAATGCTGTTCACAGCACAGCCAAGTATTGGGTTGAAGTGAGGTGTCTGTCTCTTTTGTTCCCACATCACAATATTTATGTATTTTTTTAAGGTTTATTTTATTGATTTGGAAGAGTTATGGAGAGATGTAGAGCCAGAGAAAGAGAGAGAGGTCTTCCATCTGCTGGTTCACTCCCAAATGGCTGCAATGTCCAGAGCTGAGCTGATCCAAAGCCAGGAGCCAGGAGCATGGAGCATGGAGCTTCTTCCAGGTCCCCCACGCGGGTGTAGTGGTCCACGGCTTTCCGAGGCAGAGAGCAGAGAGCTGGACTAGAAGTGGAGTAGCCAGGACTCGAAGTGGTGTCCATAGGGGATGCCAGCACTGTAGGCCTTACCCACTACGCCAACAGCAACAGCCCCATATTGTTGAGACGAAAAAGACTTCAACATTAGGTCTCACTGGATTCCCTTTTTTATACTCAACCAGTTGCTTTTCTGACAACACCAGCATTTCCCAAGTTCCAGATGATACCATTCGGTCTTTCAAGTCCCATCACCACTGCCTCTTCCACTCTCAGCTGTTTGTAGCTGGTCACTGTCTTCCTGGGACATGGGCTCCTGAGCCATCCTGAACTGTTAAAATCTTCTAGCGGTTGTCTGGACACTTACTTGGATGGGATATTCCATCTCTTGTTATTCCTTTTTTTTAAAGATTTATTTTATTTATTTGAAAGAGTTACAGAGAGAGGTAGAGTTAGAGAGAGAGGTCTTCCATCTGCTGGTTCACTCCCCAGATGGCCGCAACAGCCGGAGCTGCGCCGATCTGAAGCCAGGAGCCAGGAGCTTCTTCTGGTCTCCCATGTGGGTTCAGGGGCCCAAGGACTTGGGCCATCTTCTATTGCTTTCCCAGGCCACAGCAGAGAGCTGGATTGGAAGAGGAGCAGCCAGGACTAGAACTGGCGTCCATATGGGATGCCAGCGCCACAGGCGGAGGATTAACCTACTGCACCACAGCGCCGGCCCCCATCTCTTGTTATTCTGTTCCTTGGTTTATTATGCCATTTGGCAAGAGATCTTCCTAAAAAAGGGAGGTGAACTCCCTGAGTCCTTGCCTGCACTGAATCTACCCTCACTTTTAATTAGCTGGGAAAGAATTATAAATTGGGACTCATTTTCCCTCAGAAGGTTGTACTTTATTCTTAACCTTATTTTCCTACTCTACTATATGTTTTCTTTTATTATTTTTTGGCAAACATTTTTTTTTATTTCCAAGGATATTTTTAAGATGTTTTTGTTGAATGGTTCTAATATCTTCTCAGCTGTTTTAAAGGCAACTAGTTAGTGTTTTTAAAAATACTTCTATTTTGGTTCCTAATATTTCTGCTCCTTTTATGTTTACACTTTGAATCTGTATGTTATGATCTTACATTCTATTGTGTCAGTCTTCCCCATGTATCTTATCATTCTTGGTTGTCCATTCTTGTTTCAGAATAAGGTATTAGGAGGCCTCTGACAGGTTCTGGGAGGTGAAAGGGCTTAAGGTTGACAAATGCTGCTGAGACAGATAAGCAGGGGCCTGATCAGGGCAGAGACCTGGCTGCTGGTTGTTTAGTGCTTTGGGGTAGAGGGCTGACTTTTCCAAGGGCAGGCTTCTCCTTCCGTATTCATTCTCACAACTCACTCTGCATCTCCCTTCACACTTACTTCTCCAGGTATGGGCACTCCTGACAATTCAGCAGTATAGGCTGTCCTCACTCAGCAATCAGTCCTCTATCCTCTGCTTGTCAGAGACACTTGAAGTCTCTCATGTACTGGCAGATTACTTTTCCTGTTTGATAAAATTTGAGGTGTATACCTTTTTTATTTCTTCACCATATTTTTTTTTTGACAGGCAGAGTGGACAGTGAGAGAGAGAGATAGAGAGAAAGGTCTTCCTTTGCCGTTGGTTCACCCTCCAATGGCCGCCATGGCTGGCGCACTGCAGCTGGCGCACCGCACTGATCCGATGGCAGGAGCCAGGTACTTATCCTGGTCTCCCATGGGGTGCAGGGCCCAAGCACTTGAGCCATCCTCCACTGCACTCCCTGGCCAAAGCAGAGAGCTGGCCTGGAAGAGGGGCAACTGGGACAGAATCCGGTGCCCCAACCGGGACTAGAACCTGGTGTGCCGGCGCCGCAAGGCGGAGGATTAGCCTAGTGAGCCGTGGCGCCGGCCTCTTCACCATATTTTTAATGTTAGTAGCAAACAGGACAAGAGATCAATACTTTTTCTTCCTGACATCTTGAACCAGGTGACTCTCCTCTTTTATTTATATACTTTATGGCTTCTTTATTCTAATAAAGATCGCTGGTTAGCCCACCTACTTTTCTAGTACGTTTATTGGACACTGCTAAAATTCATAGACACATGGGTTGAAAGATTCTCCGTTCTTCCAAAACAGTGTGTTGAAGTCCAAACCCCTCTACCTTAAATATGACCTTATTTGGAGTAGGGTTGTTGTGGAAGTAATGATCGTAACTTACTGTGAGGGCATACTGGGATAAAGGAGTCCCCCAGTCCGATGTGACTGGTGTCCTTATAAGAAGAGGACCATCTGAAGATACAGTGCTGTGCAGGGAGAATGCCATGGGAGGACCAAGGTAGAGGTCAGAGCTCTGTAGCCACAAGCCAAAGGATGCCAAGGATTTCCT